TCCTCTCTCCCTCGCTCCCTCTCTCCCCTTCTCCTCCTCTCTCCCTCGCTCCCTCTCCCCCCAGACCCTTTGGCTAAGCATCTGCCCTAAATGCATGAGGTCAGTGGCAGTCTGGTTCTTACTGGAAAGAAGAAAATAGAAGTGTAAAGGACACTGTGATCATCTGAAGTCATAAATGACAACAGCTGAAATCCTGGCCCTGGAAATGCTGATTTTTACTATTCTCTGAGAATGTCCCTTCATGATGGTGTGGACAAATTACATGTCACTTTCCAAGAACAGAAAGAATAGTTGTAGTGAACAGCTTTCACATTTCGTTTCCTCTCGTGAACTCTGGGCACCAGCCCCACTTGGTGGTTCGTGTGTGAGTGCAGCCGCTCAGGTGTTTCCAGCTGTGTTGTTGCCATGGGATCGTACTTGTCACCCCTCTGTTTCCCTCTGACCTATCACAGCTCAACAGTTTGTTTCTGAGTAAGTTACTTGCTGTCTGGGTAGAAGCAGCCAGTAGACTTCTCTATCCCGAGACATCAGGCCATTTGACTTCTGCTTTATTCCTCCAGGATTGCTCAGCCACAGGAGATGCCCACTTTTCCTCTGACAGTGGGTCCTTGGAAGTTTGTATTCCCCTTGGGTCTGCTCTTCACTTGCTGTCGGAGGACTTCGTTGTCTTCAGCAGTGAGCTGTAGCTAGGCCCTCCTCTGCAGTCCTACGTTCATTCCTGCTAATACAGCTGAAAGGCTTTGGACTCTCTGTCCAAGAATATTAGAAGGAGAACTCGGATAAGGGCTGAGTAGGTGGTGAGTGCAGATTTAGGTGAAGAGGTCAGGTCTTGGAGAGCTCATGGCAGCCAAGGTGAGATAGTCTGTTGAGATGGGCCTGTCCTCTGGGCATCTTTCAGGGTAAGGGAATTCAACAGTTAACCCAAAGAATCATCATTAAGCATTGCTTTTGGGTACTAAGTCATAAGCAGGAGTAAACAAACTGTTTGGGGGGGGAGGGTCTAGCAGTGTAGTGTAGCCTGGCCTCAAACTATATTTTTTTTGAGACAGAAGCCTCAGCCTGCAGTTCAGACTGGCCTCGAACTCACTGTAGCCTCTGCTGACCTTGAACTCAGTGATCCTGCCTCAGCCTCCTGACTGCCAGGATTATAGGTGTATACCACCACAACCAGCAAAAACAAGAATTTGGAAAAGGTGTTAGTATAGATGTTTATGGAGGAATAAAAACTCCCAACAATTGATTTTTAAAATCCAGGCTGCTCACCCCTATAAAATTTACCATAGTCCTTTCACATGAGCCTGTGCAGGAGGGGGTTTGGTGGAGCTTGTGAGTGGGAGTTACTCCTGGGGAGCCCTGTGTTTCCCCAACCAGAAAAGAATTATTTTTCAAGTAATATTTAATTGAAGAAAAAGCTCCTTAAAAAAACACTGAAGAGGGCTGGTGAGATGGCTCAGTGGAACAGGCTTGGCAAAGCACAGGGACCACGGGGTTCGATCCCCCAGCACCACATGCCAGCCAGCCCCGCCCCCTGGTGGGCTGAGCTGGCCACACACACACAATAAATAAATAAATGTTAAAAAAAAAAAAAAAACACTCAAGAGAAGAGGTGTTAAACTGTATTCATTTTAATAATATAGCACAAGGCCGGGGAGATGGCGTAGTGGAATAAGCGCTTCCCTGGTAAGCGCAAGGGCCTGAGTTCAATCCCTGGTTCTGCCCGGGGGGGGGGGGGGAGTAATAATATAGCACAGCTGTGATACAGTGCATTAACAATCCATAATAAAATATGTACTTACAAAATATTAATATATATTGGGCACCAGCACTGGGGAGGCTGAGACGAGGATCATTGCAAGTTCGAGACCAGCCTGGGCTATATATAGTAAGCTCAAGGCCAGCCTTATAGTAAGCTCAAGGCCAGCCTGAACTGTATAGTGAGACCTCGTCTCAAAAAGGCAATTTTTTTTTAATATGTATTAGAAAAACACTGGGGCTGGTGAGATGGCTCAGTGGTCTAAAGCACCTACTTAGAACAAGCTAAGCTAAGCAAAGCAAGGGACCGCGGTTCAATCCCCCAGCACCACATGCCAGCCAGCC